AGGTCTTTCTTTTTATAGTGGTTGTATTGGAATTCTTCAATCATGGAATAAGTATCTTTCTTAGCAATAACCTAGTGTAGAATCATTTTCTCTAGCAATCCTCTATTATTTGGTGCTTTCATTCTCCTCATGCCTACCCGTTCTTCTAAATAAGATGACCCTATTCAACACCTTTCCACCAAATTTCAAGATCTCCAGACCCAATTTGAATCCCAGGTTGCCACCTTTGAGTCCCAATATTCTACCATGCAAGCTGTTATTCACCAGAACCAAGAATCCTTATCCACCATCATGGCCACCCTTCGTACTCATTTTGGGAATCCAGGTTCGTCGACCTCTAGGGCCTTTATCCCTTCTTCCTTTCCCTCGGTTGACAGTACCTTTAGTGCCCATGTGCCCTTTACTTCCTTTCCATCTCACCCTTCCCCATCAGTTACTTTTTGCAACCCTTCCTACCCGAGACCCCCACCTCTTTTCACCAACCCTACTACTGTCACAACATCCATACCATTTATCCCTCCTTTAATACCCCCAAATTCCTTATCCCTTACTCCACCAGTTCAACTTTCCCCGCCTTTTCCTCACTCATCATTTTCTTAAATTTTTTTATATTCTTTTCATCAAACTTTCTCTTTTCATGTTCTTTCTGTATCAAAAACACTAAAAACATCCAAGTACCTAATAAAAGAAATTAATGCACATAAAATTGATCAGTCTTTGTAAAACATGATTCAAAAGCATAAGATGCAGTCAGTAATTGTCTAATATAAGTCATAAATATGAACATAAATATTTGACAATTATCAACCACTTATATATGTCCTTTTATAGTTTTATTATTTAACTTAAGAACTTCTTAAAAAATTGTTTCCAAAAATATTGGAAAGAAAAACAACAATAGTATATATAAGTTATACATTTAACCAAAATGAAATATTAGTATTTTTATGAAGCTAGTATTTATTTTAGTATTAGGTAAATATAGTATTTAATTCTTAAATTGCTTATTTAAATAGTTAAATTTGAATTTACTGTTATTATTTTAATGGAAAAATATAATTATTAATGGCTGACCGACTATTAAAGCAAAATACTATAGAACTATTTTAGAATTTTCATTCTTTTAAATTTTATTTATTTTGAAAGAAAATGAAAAGATATGAAAAAGATAATAATGTAATTGTTAAGTTAAAAGACGACTCTTTAAACTCAGATAGAGTTTAACAAATAAAGTGTTTTTATATATCTTGGAAAATGTCTTTGAAATATATCCTTGAAAACTTATAAGATGAAGTGTTAGATACAGGTCATCTGTAAGACGATTGTTAATCAGATGAAACATGTAATATATCTCATATACATTAAATATTTATCATTTATTGAGACTAACGATAAAGTTCTCTTTAAATGCTTCATTCATTAATAGATCGAATCAAAAGACCATCTTAGAACTAAAAAATTTGTTAAAGACAAGAATCATGTTTTTTGTTAGAACCAAATCCCTAAAATCACAAAGAAAAACATATAAATTCATTATTATAGTTGCTCTACACTAACATTGCTTCTACAAGCTTTGTTTGGTATGCAAAGTTGATAAGTAACCTCCTTGATCAAATAAGAGATACTATTTGGTGAAATGCATTTAATGTTCACATTAAATGTGCCAGACAATTATCTGTCACCACAAGGGAAGACGATAAAAACAAACGAAACAAACTTGTGAGTTGAACTCAAAGTGTTGCAACTGTCATCTTCTTCGGGCTACTATATAAGAAGTTTCAAAACATAACAAAAATGGAGATGTGATATATTCATTTGTACCAAACACATATTCTCCATAAAATCTATTCTTTCTTGTAAACACACATTGCTCTATAATTAGTTGTATAACATCTAAGTGAGATGAACACACCATTTGTATAACCTTCATAACCATTGTTATAAGGTTAAGCTTAAAGAGGTTTATCTATAAAAAGAATACTGGTTTTGAGCCTGGAGAGACTTGTCTATAAAAAAAAACTTGTTTTGAGCTTGGAGAGGCTTGACTATAAAAGAATACATAGTTGTTAAGCCTGAAGAGGCTTTGTTAAAAGAACACTTAGGTAGTTGCTTGAAGAAGCAAGCCAAATAATACTTAGGGTTGAGCCATAAGTGGCTTGGAAAAAGAATACTTGTATCTTTTTTTAAAGATAGTAGAACTCAATATAGTTGGCTTGAGAGTTGGACATAGTCTCGATGATTGAGGTAAACTAATATAAAAATACTCAGCATTCCATTTTATTACTCTTCTTGCTTCATCTGACTAGCGTTACTACCTTACTATAGAAAACATGAGAGTTTTTTATATACACTATTTAACCCCCTTCTAGTGTTTATCTTTTCTCCACAATAATGGGTGGTGTGTACCAAATAATTCACTATAGTGGAGCCTTCACATAAATGAGATGTATTCGTAAAAACCATTTAGAGTAAATTACACTTCCATCTCTTGTATTCCATTTTTAGAGATTGCACCCAATACCTTTTCATTATTTGAACCTACAATGAGATCTCTTAAAAGTTAAAAAAATGTTACACTCATACTCTTTGTACTTTTTTGAGATTCTACCCAATACCCCTTCATTATTTGAACCTATAGTGAGACTCGTTAAAAGTTGAAAAGATGTTACATAAAACCAAACCAATTTTATGTTGTAGAGTTTACCAACAACCTTAACCAAGCTTTTCGGATCATTGATTCCAAAATTTCAACCAACTTTCCTTAATCTAGAAATCCAAAATAGTAAACTTTCTTGAAGTTGCATTTGTTTCAAAAGCCATTGGTTCTAATGGAGAAGGCGAGGGACATCTTTTGAAGAAAAAAATTATTAAAAACCATGTCCATGTCACATGACACAAATATGTTAATAAACTTGATGTTGATTGTAGGTCAGGATACAATCTAACATCTTTTCAACTTTTAAGAATTCTCAATATAGGTCCAAATAATGGAGGAATCGGGTCTAATCTCGCAAAAAAACATATGGGGTATGAATGTAATTTACTCATCTTTTATTTAGCTCATAGTAAGGTAGGCGTATTCTAACGTTAGGAAGAAGAAGAAGAAGAATGCAAAACTTTCTATGTTAATGGGACAATCAATCGACAAAGAAAGTTCTTCTGATGGTGGTTAAAATGATTGAAAATTAATTATTTAAAAAAGAGATGAAAAATATCAAATATGATTCATAGTGATCATTTTATGGCAATTCCAATCTACCCATCATAAAAAAAGAGGACACTATGATATTTTGTAAATAATTCAAAACAGTTCATGTCGATTTCTGTCTTAACTATTTCTATGTTTGTTAAACAAGCATCTGACATAAAAAATGGTGACATTTTTGTAAAAATAATGCAAAACTTTTTATGCTAATGGGACAATCAATCAATGAAGAAAGTACTTCTTATAATGGTTAAATCAATATTCAAAATAAAAAGTGTTTTGAAAATTACTTTTATTCCAAAAAAATGTAATTTATGTTTTTTACTTTCTTTTCAACCTTATACTCCTTTGTCTCCTCTTCGAATCCTCCCCCCGTCCTTTATCATCCTTGCACATTTAGGTAACATGGTGGTGGAAATGGCAACCTTATACTCCTTGTATTTTTCTTTCTTTTATTATTATTATTATGATATTTTGATTGAATGTTGATATTGTGTGGTGGTGTGGAAGCTAATATGGTGGTGGAAGTGGCAAACATGGTGATGGAACAAACGATTGTGGAGGTGGAAGACGACACAAAGAGGATGTTTTAAAAGTGAATGTGGTGGTGAAAGTGACAACGGCAAAATGAGAAATAGATTTCACAGTACCATACCAGAGGTCACAAAGGATAACAAACACAATAAAGAGGCAACACTTGACAGAAGATTTGTTGGAAAATCTTAAATTTCTAGAGATTCCGAGATATCCGAGATATCCGATTTAAGTTATCTGGAATTATTTGATTTATCTTTTGAGTTATTTTGTTTCAGATTAGATAAGATAGTTTTTTGATAAGTTTTGATTTGATAAGATATTTTATTATCTTCTTGTTAGTTCAGTACGTTGTAAAATGACTATTTAAAGGCCATCTCTTATTCAATAAAAAACATAGTGAGTTGCTACGTTCACCCACAACATTAGTATTACCTCGTCCCTCTTATTTTTTCTACAAGAATAGGACTTTTTGTGTTGTTTCATTAATTGACATAGAAAGTTAAGATTTTTTATGATTTTTTATGTTGCTTATATCTATGAGGAGTCTAGACCTGATATAGAAAATCTATTTTAACCATCATAAAATTATCCTGCACATTAGTGTTAAATATTAATGATATGATGAGAAAGTATTTCGCTAGTTGTCAAATGGAAAAGTCAAAATTAGATGAAGAAATTATAGAAATTCCTTTATTTTATACAATGGACAATGATTTTCTTTGGGTCACTAGTGTACATACCAAAAAAATAGTGACGTACATATCCAAAAACACAATACAGAAAAATAAATAAAAATCATATCTACAAGTACATACTGGAACAACTACTTCATAAAGGCATAAAGCAAATAAAACCATTACAATCTATGCTTACTTTGCATTTTTCAACCCTCAACGTAACTCATAGATTTTTCTTCATTCCAGCAAAGTTAGATGCTTCTTATTATATTTGACTGTGAAAAGAGCTTTTGACAATTACTTAACATTTATCATCATGAGGCAATCAGATAACCTAAGTACACATTCTCTTCAACTCTTTCCTTTTCATGCTTGAGTATGGACTACACATAAAGTAATCTTTTCTATTTCTTACCTCACTAGTAAGGCAGAAATCGATTGATGGTCCAACCACTAACATCACAGAATTCTAATGGTTCAGCTAAATTCTCTGCAACTCTATGTACTAAATGGTAGTCAAGAATGAAACTAGTAGCAATAGAAGGGAAGAAAAAATAAAGTAAATTTAATGAACAGAAAACTCTGCAGACAAGAGACTATATTATTTAGGTAGGTAATTTACATAAGCTATGCAGAATTCTTGTAGTGGAAATGTGGACTACATAGGTGTTCAAGGCAACCAAATGTTTCCACTGTTTACATTCAAGGGTCAGTTGTTGACATCATTATATACCTTTTCCTTTCAGTTTGGGATAAAAGAAGACATGAGGGACTAGATGAGTACAACTGATGCAAGGATCTAAGGTATAATATCCCATCTTCCATTTGACACCATGGGCTGTTTAGATAAACTTCTCTAAAAACACTTCTGAAAAAGAAAATATGATGAAAACATGAAATAAACTTTTCTATAGAAATTAGCTTGTACATAAGTTAATTTATGATTTTTTTGAGAAGTTACACCAGAAAACTTCTACAAACTAGCACATGCATGAGCTCATTTTAGCATATCAAGAAGTTTATTTAATTTCATTTCTATTTTTTCCTCCTAGAAATGCTTCTAGAGAAGTTTACCCAAATAGGCTCCATGTAACACTGCATTAGCCATGAGAGGATTAGATTACTTTTGTTGTCTGTTTTCTAATGGTATGTGATAGTTTGCCAGTCAAGTCAACAAACTATGTAGCTGAATAGTGGTACTATATGTTGGTTCCAGGAGTACACAACATGTATGTAGTACTATAGCAGGGTATGAATAACCTGATAGTGCACATGTAGGAAACATAAGAGGTAAAAAGGGAAATGTGTAACAATGGTAAAAATCTTTGTTACAGGATTTTATGTACACAATATATTTGGAGCCCACAAAAAATAATATGAGGATCCAAATATAGTCACCCAGGGAATAGCTTGATATGGTTTGTGATCTGCTCACGGCATATATGACACTTTGATAATTTTAATCCACACTCTCTACAAGTCTGCAGAAGAATTACTTGATAGTCATCAAGTGTAAAAAAATATGCAAAAAAATAAAAATAAAAAGGAACGCTGTTTGAAAGAACTCACCATGTGCCCACATCCAAAAGCCAAGTCCTTTTCATTACAGAGGCATATAGAACAGACCTACATTTAAGAAGAAATGGCTTCAGGCTTAGAAGAGGTTAAGATAGTCTTGCTACACAGAGTAGACATTTATTTCTTAATCTTTTCCCTATGTAATCCTGTAGCAAAATTCTAAACCAATTTCCAAGTAGTTACTTGATCATATTGATGTCAATCTTATTGCAAACTTATTTACATTCATGGAGAATTTAGAGAAACAAATATCCTTTAAAGCTTTGAAAACATGATTCATCAATTTTATAAGATATGGAATGTAGTAAAGGTTCTTAAGGAAATTAATGATCCAATATTATGTTTGGAAATGGAACTGTATGAAAAATTGTGTTAATATTGTCCAATTAAGTGACCATTATAGGTGGTAACAAATATATCACTAGCTGGTCGTTTAGCCCTCCTTTAACCCCTTAAAAGTGAAATTACATTCTACCTGGTCAGAGTTTATTTTAGAAGAAAATTGAAAAATTATCTTTCACAACAACAAACAAAATGGAACAAAGAAACCAGAAAAAAAAAATGTTAGAAACGCATAAATGAAATATGAAAATTATCAAAGAAATCTCATGTTCATCGATCACTATTTGTACATGGAACGAGCATTATAATTTAAGTTCAAACCTCTTTTTTTAGACATTTCTCAAAAAGGTCTCGAGTAAATTTGCCATCATTCATTAAGTTACCTTTCCAATCAAAACTTAAGGATAAGAGAGTTGTATATCCAATTATAGAGGACATGAGTTTCTTTCACTAACAATTCACATCACCTATGCCTAAGATGGATGGGAGTCTAGTGCTTTATCTTATGTCTATATTTTGTCCTCATTGCATCACATTTACATTTAGAGTAAAAGCATACCATATTAATGTCACTTGTTGGATTACACCTTGGATTCTCGATTTCCTTACATCCTAAGGCATAAGATGCATAGGTATTCAAGATCTCCATTTTGGTTATAATAATTGTCAAGAACCTTATACATTTAAGCATGTGTGATGAATATGAAAAATTGGCAACAAATAAAAATATATTATGCTTCATATCTTGGAATATAGGACTCCTATATGTTTTGGGAGACATGTGTCGTCTAATGGGATGCAAGGGGAATATGAGATGCTCAATAAGATTTTATACCAAATACAAAACAAGTGCATATTTCAAAGTATCCAATATTTCTTGGAATTTTGGATTGAATGAAGATGCTTGAGTAAACACCATTATGTCAAGACAGGCTATGCTAAGTGTGTCACAAGTAAGCCAAACAGGAAAAGAAACACTCATAACACAAAGTTGATAACCCATTCACCTTATAATCTGAAATTCTTATTTTCCTATGAAGATCACTGAGTTTTGCCTGAGATCAAAACAAAGGTAAAAGCTATAAGATTCAAAAAAAATTCACCTAAATAAGAAGTATTCATTTGGAACCAACCAAAATAAAATAACTGAGATATCAATAAGTACCTCAGCAAAGGCAGCTCTAGATTCAGCAAATATAACATCCCTACGAAAATTCTCCATAATTCGTTGAGCATTTTCTCGTTCTTCTTGTAACACTTGTCTTACTGCTTCAACTTCTCTCTTGGCTATTTGTGCAGCCTCATGACTTTTATCATATTCCACTGTAAGAAATTGAGAGCGTTTATGCTCTTCTTGCAGTTCTTTGTTGAGCTTGGCACATTCATGCTATACATAAACAGTAACCGATGAGCAATATTGTCTAAACATATGGCAAGTCATATAACTTCATTCATCACTGAATGAAACGTATAGATAAATAAGGCAATTGAAATATGATAAAACTTGAATACAATTTTTTAGATACTTTCAGCATTGTTTTCTAATCATAATTCGAGGTTTTTCTTTTTGCAATAATCCATGTTGATCTTTAATACAAACCTTTATTACACATTACAAACTATAAAAGTGAAACTCCAAATATGATAGAAAAACAACACCAAGAACATTCAATGAACTACATTTAAGTTTTGTCCATTATTTTTTTTCTCAGAAAATCAATATAAAAAAGAAAGAAAGAAAGAGAACGTACAGACCTCTAAATTTTGTATATGTTCTTCAAGATTTGTCTTCTCTACAATGCTTTCTTGCACTACTTTCTGTATGAATGTTAAATTAACCCAAATAGGTTGAGATAAAGAAAAAATTGCTCAACTATCAACTACTAGAAACTCAATTAGTCAAATAAAAAACCTGCAAATGCTTTAGCCTTTCATGTAAACTACGAATCACACTGCAAGCTTTCTTTTCAGCATCTGATATTGATTCCCTTTCATTCTTCAACTTAAGCAACTGTAAAAGGACAAACGAAGAAAATGTTTTCCAACAATGTCTCAATCATCATCACCACATGTACATGATCTCAACAAATCACTATACAAGATGCATTTAAGTTTTATAATTTATGAAAAGAAATGAATAACATTTGATTACATGTCATATATAGAGACTAGTAAGGGATCATATGGTCCAGTAACACCAAATAATTTGTCATTGCTTGGACAATCCTCAATTATATATAATGGGACACGTTTCCTATAAATTACCTGGTGGTTAGATTCTTTCTTGAGGCTTTGCCATCTTTCTTTAGCAAAATTTGCTCGCTTCTTCCAGTCTTCAAGTTCTGACTGTAGTAATAAAGCTTCATTCCTTACAATAACCAATGAAAAGGAAAAATTAAGTTTGATGTTACTGTAGAAGGAAACCACATTAGAAATCAAGAACAAATGAAAAAATTTACCTAGACCTTGCTGCTTCATCCTCGAGATATAACACTTTGTTGATAGGATCCTTCATTATAACATAATTATGTCACAACTAATTATTTACCATATGAGCTAGGCACTCTCTCAAACTGTCTTTCTAACATTTTCTTTCTTTTGTTGAAATTCATGTTGATATCTCTAATTTGGACATAAATCCCACAAACTGAAAATTAAGTTGCATATTTTTATTTGGATAAATTTTTTTTTAAATACTTCTAAAAGAAAAAAAAAAAATAAGAAGAAAGAATGAAATAAACTTTTCTATAAGCTAAAACCAGCTTATGCACAAATTAATTTATAATTTTTTTGGATAAGCTACTTGAAGAAATTTAATTTCTACAAATTGATTTTTGCATAAGCTAATTTTATATTATGGAGAAATTTATTTTAGTTTTCTTTCCTAATTTTTTCTCCTAAAATTACATAGAAAGTTTATCCAAACATATCTTTAATAAGTGCTTCACATGGATTTCACCTTATAAGAGAAAGTACAATTGAAATTACTTGCTTTTGTGCTAAAATTATGTCCATCGTACCTGTGATGCTTCAATTGGAGATTTGAAGCTTGAGGTTCCTTCTGCAATAGCCAAATAAAGATAAATAATTCTAACAATTAATTAATGAGGGATTGGAATTGTACATACAATGTAATTAAATTAACCAATATGGAGAAAACATTTCTAATCAAATTCTTAGCCAGTGATAAGGAAAATTGTAATTTTGAGGATGAAAAAAGGGGTGGAAAACAGGATGAAACTCCAAAGAAAGTGGACCAGATGACGAATGAATATTTTCTTCCTCTTCATATGAACTCTTGAGCAATCCAACCTGCGAGGAAAGTGTAATTAAAATACCATCAACTATGCTCAGATTGAGAATAAATTTTCTTTCTAAAATTTAAAAGGGTTATAATATATTCATAAAAAAATATTATTGGAATGTTGCATAATTTCTCATTTTAAAAAGAGTCTATATAAGAAACTTTTTGTTTACAACCACATCCATTTAAACATTTCATTACCGTTTGATATATATGCAATTCAGGGTTTGGCATTTTAACAACTTTCGAAAGTATAAAACATCAATTAAGCATGTTCATATAACCAACCCCACCACCACCATCTCCCATATTGTTTTCTTCCCCAAAATAATTCCTAGCTTCATAAAATGTTCTCCATCATTTTTGTTTTCCGAGTACATTTACATCTCTATGGGCTCTTTCTATTGGAGTTGAATCCACGTCCCTGGCAATGCACTGATCTTTGTGCCATCTCCAGTCCATAATCAAGCACTTTACTGAGCTGAAAAGAAAAATAAAAATAACCCAATATATTCATGAAACTAACACTAAAAAATAATATCATATAATGATATACTTTCTATAGTAACACTGTTATTAAAAATTACTTTTACTAATTATAAATATAACATATATTAATATATTCTTAAAAAATGTATGTATAAATTATATTAACACAGAGTATATATTGTTAAATTTCATTTAAAATTAATATTAAAATTATGTATAGTTTATATGTCAAACAGATTTATATTTACATATTTTAAACTTATAAGGACACTTTTTATATGTTATTATATATAAAAAAAAATTTATGGAGTAAATAACATTTTTTGGTGAAGATCTGATGGCTTAAATCTCAAAAGGGTGTTTTTGTTTTAAGTCGTATTCAGTTGGACAAAATATAATTTGGTCTAATCTTCATTTAATAATGCACAAATATTGTGTGAAAAGGAAAACGAATTCGCAAAAAGACATCAAATAATAACATAATAACATCGTATCAAAAGCTTTGGTTCCGTTGAATAAAAATTAGAATTTCATTTCCATAATATGAATAATTAATTAAATGATGTATATTATTAATGTAAAATTCTAATTTTAATTGAAAAATAATAGCAAGTAAATTTTTTTCTTTCTATAAAAAAAGAAGAAAATGGAAAGGTAAAATAATTGAGTTTCTTCCATGCTAAAATGAACTTATGTACTTCAATTTTATTATAAAAAAAAAAAAAATTCTCATCTAACTTATGAGCTTATAAAAAAAATAATTAATATCTTATCTTTTTATTTTCTTTTCTTAATTATAAATAGTTGTACAAAAATTTATCTGAACATGGCTTAGTTAAAAATATATATATATTTGTGAGACTAACCAGTATTTGACGGATTTGCATCGTGAACATCTTGTGGTACTTGTTCTACCACATACTTCACAACCATGGATGTTGTTAACATCACTTTCACTTGAAACTTCCACACCCACATCTGATTCTAAACTCCACTTCACTCCATCATCAACATTGGACCCATTAGAGGCACTCTCCTGTCACAAGTCTTATTAGCAATATAATTTCTGAGCCAAAGATTAAATGGACATATATGGCATCAATTAACTTCCAATTTACACCTAATTTGTTTTTATTTATTTACTTTTTGTCATAAATACACAACATTTTTAAGTGTGGTAGGTGGGAGAAACTCAACTCAGACGGATTTGAAAGTTAAAAATCGATCTATCAACACATATCATGTTTCTCAATAAAAAATGAAGTCCTATTATTGTTCCAAATATATACTATATCAATATTCAAGCCACCTCTCTCAATCCATAGTGATACTCTAATAAAGTAATACTCACGAATTTATATTTTTTTCATTTATAAAGCAAACTTGGTTTAGGACTTTTTCTATTCATTTATTCTTTCATTCCTTCTGTGCTCAACTCCGTGTTCCTCGTTCTCATCTAGTTCCTTAATTTAGTTTTGCAAATTTGGTGTAATATGTATAAAACTCTAAGTTCGATGTTGACGTGATTGTAATTCTTATAAATAAAAAAATAGTAAAATATTTTTGTCATAAGTTGATATTAAGTTATTTATTTACAAGCATTTTGAAATTTAAAAAAAAAATTAATATCTTGTTTATTGAATGTATATCATTTATAACTTAACTTTGATTTTATATATATGAGAAGAGAAATTTGATTAATATATTTTAATTTACTCCATTAATATTTATAAGATCCAACTTAAAATAATTATTTATCTTTTTATATAAAATTCAATATATGTTATTTTTATATATTAACTATTTTTAAATTAAAATATCTCTATAATTAAAATATGTCATTTTAATTTAGTGAAATGTATTAATTATAAATTATTCAAACAACGTCCACGTCAATTAGTTAAGACAAAAGGTAATATTAATTAGGAAAGAGAAAGATATCACAATATAAGGATAATTTTGAAAAAGAATTATAAAAAAAGACAAATTTATTATTTTTAATCATATTAAATAATTTTTTTTTTATTTTGATGAATTAGAATACTTTTTATTTTTTTTAAAATGCTCTTGACAACGAGTCGAGACAAAAGTTGAAAGTATATAAATAAAAAAATAACGAATAGTTGTCTCGGGCTTTTACTTAAGATATTTTAAATTCCTTGATCCAATTTCGTGGCCTACACGAGTTGATTGGACGGACTAGGCCTCCAAAAACCTCATTTAAGTATTTAAGTAAAATCAAAAGTCAAAACACACACCATAAAGACCAGAATACACTAAGTAAATCAATTATTAAATCACAAACTTTTTTTTTTCAAAACAGAAATGATCGGTAACATTTTTCAACACAACCTAACTATAACAATCACAACATCTAAAAGGGTTTTTAGAATATATTTTGCACAGATTATTTTGATTTAAGCAACTTATTTATAATTTTTATAACGACATTTTAATTTATTTTAATAACATAATCATTGATATACTAAGAATTTATGTACCAAAAAATATAGAAAAAAAAAGTTATTCACTCACATCTAATCATAAAATGATGTTGTTAGCTTTTAGGATAATTACGTAGAAGTCATAATTATCGGTTGGTTGACAATTACATTATAATTAAGCTCAAATATTTTTTTATACAATTTTTCATGCAATGTTCCAAAATCAATAATTAAATATTAATTTACATTCATAAAATATGGTTTTTTTTTCTGGCTAAACATGTCTCACAAGTATAAATTAATTTTTTTTTATTAACTTTGAGACACACTGCTAAGAGAAAAAAATTATTTTGAATATGTTTTTTCTCTTTTTTTTATTGAGGTTTCAATATTCTCCATTTATTCTCCTATAAGTTTTTACATAAACATTTCAAGTTACACTCAACAAATTTTTGTGATTTTTATAACTACCCACTTCCTCTTATAAGATCCTATACGGCTGCTGGTTATTCTTTTAATATTTACCCCCTTTGATCCCTGTATTTTCTTCATTTGCTTGACCTAGTTGTTTAAGCTAGTTGGTAGTTAATCTGTGACTTGTAAATCAACTTGCATATAACAAACAATATATTATATATATTAGGCGTTGACATTAAACACACACAGTTTTTATGATAGAGACCTTAATTACCTTTTCAGAGTTCTCAACAAGTTTGGAGATTCCGTGATCATGAGTTGTTGGTCTTGCTTCATCTGCTATATTCTTTGATTCCGAACATTCGTATTTATGCCCTGACCTCCAATGAATAATTTGGCATTCCATTGAGCTAACAAAAACATCCAAAAACATCTTCAGATATCGTTTCATGAGACACTCTATTTATATTATCATTTGTTTTTGTTTTCCTGGTTAAATTTAAGTAGAAAAAACAAAGGTTGGTTTTTGAACAGTAGCTTTTGACTTGGCTACGTTGTTGTGGGCCAATTTTTAAAATGACAGTTTTTTTGGAGTCCAATTTTCACACTAGTACTTTACACTTCTATCTTCCTCTTCCTTTCCAGCTGTATTAGCTACTACAATGATCAATTTATCTCTTTTCTTTCCATCGCTTTCTTCTCATTTCACAATATATATGGTGTCGATTCATCATTATATTATCCATTTGAACAAATAATTCATACAATCATGTTGTAGAGTGTGAATCCAATCTCATTCTTCTAATAAGTACAAGAATTCTCTCTCGATCAGTCCTTTTGTTCCCATTCTCTGATGATCAGAAAAATCTTTTTCAATCAAATTTGAATTTTTAAGTTTTGAATCGAGACTCTTCTACTTCTTCTGCATTTTTATTGTAGTGTACGAATTTCCAATGTTAACCAGATAATAAAAAAACTTATCACTATCACCATATACTTCACCCACTAAATATATACCTCCCACTTTAACAGAACTAAATCCACAACCAAAGATTTGGCGTGGTTTTGATCGAGTTTTTATTAGGTATTTTTATTATAATATTCTCTAAAAGAATTTACCTTAATGACCTGTACATTAAAAATATTTACTTAAGTTGGATATTAAATACTGAAGTAGAATTCATTGGATGAAATAATAACACTACAAGTCTATTAGGAATGAAGATCTAGTCACATATATTTGAATAGTTTACACAAAATCTTATGATTAAATCTAATTTTTGTTGATATGAAAAAGTGTTAATTGTTTTCTTTAACACCAATGAATTAACAGTTATGCACTGACATATAGTAAACTGTTATATTGCATTTAACTAATTCTAATTTATTGATGGCATGACTTTTTAGTTATTTATTGTAAAACTCTATAATGTTATAATTATAATACATGACGTAATTGAATTACAGTGTAAAAATAACACCCAAAAGCAGCATATTTTCTTTATAAGAAAAACACCCTAAAAGCTGTTAAAAACAACACAAAAGTGTTTTTCAAAAAATACAATACAACTATCAATTTCATTGTACTTACCAATATCTAGCAGCCTTGCAGCGAGAGCACCTTGTGGTGCTTAAATTTCCACAAGAGGCACAACCACCGTGTCTCCTCCCACCGCTGTCACTGGGCGCGGCGGCCGGGAGATGATCACCGCCATCAAAATAATAGTTCAATTCACTACTAAGGTGCTCCTGCTCTCCCTGATGAGACTTAAAAAAATGGTCCAATTGATCAACCTCTCCTTCATGATCAACCTCATTGCCATTGAGATTGCTTTCTCTTTCCTCTTCTGATTGATGAAGTAGCCACCATATTCCAAAAATTACAATTGGTAGCCACAATATGAATTTCTGAAGCCAAATTTTGGTGTTATTGTCTTCAGAAATGGGTTCTGCCTTATTTTCTCCAAAACCAAGCAACCCAAGATGCCAATTTAGGTCCAATGATGCCACCACATAAACAGACATACCCAAATTCCAAAACTTGGTGGATGACTAATTTATCACAAATTCTAGAGAGACAAAACAAACCCAAAGAGGGTACGTAAAGTATGAGATGATGAGTGGTAGTTGGTAAAAAATGGTTTGTGCCGTGGGAGAATGGAGGACCTTTTATACATGTTTCGATTTTTTAACTTGTATGATTTTCCATCATGTTTCACTGAGTTTTTTTCTTTAGATTTTTTTAATCTTGAATGTAATTACGTAGAAGAAACAGAATTGGGAACGCGTCTAGTGGGAATCATAATTAATGAATTAAGTGTGTGTGAACATTTTCTTAGAAGGTAGAGCCTGACAAATTGAGGTTGAATTTCGGGTGTGGGGACCACAGACCAAATCCAAAAACCTATGTTTTTTAAGGAAGCTCATGGGGAAATTGAGAAGGCAATTATTTAAAAAAAATAAATAAACATTAACTTGTTCAGGTTCTTGAACTTTGACCCCGGAACTGCATGTTTTTAACAATTGTCATCGCGTTGAATTTATATTTATAGCGGTTGTCTTCATGTACAATTTCCAGACACTCTTCTCTTTTATGATAGGTTACGCTGCGTTAAGGTTTGGAAGAACTATAGGTAAGGTCGTTGTTACCAACTGCCGCGTGGCCCCTCTCTATTTCTTTTGACATTATTGAAAATTGATTTTGATAGTTGAATTTCTTAATTAAGAATCTATATTTATCTTTTATCTTAGACATAGTATGCAACTAAAAGCACTATATAAGGGTGTGCAAAAATCTAAACTGATTTAATAAGTTGATATTCTATCCATTTTGAAAAAAAGAAAATCCGAAACGTAGATGAGATTTTAAGATTTCATGAGATACTATTTAACATAATTTTTTATAAAGACCTTAAATTTACCCTTAAAATTTGGAAGAGTCTACATAAGACTTTAAAAATTAGCTTAGGTTGAATTCAACTTATCATTCTTAAATAGATGCCAAAACCGAGAAGACTATTTTTTTTTTTTAATAGAAAATTTACTTAGAGCTTGTGTTTTTTAGCATGGGAGTAATTGGATAATTTTCTACCTTTAATTGAGTTTACCTACAATTGCAACTTTCTAAATTTTCAATTGCAATTTTTTTTTACTTTTCATGAATAAGATTTTATTTTTAGTAAATTAAATTGATATAAATTATATCTAATTACAATATGGAATGTATGATAATTTTTTTAGAAATCATATTAATATTTTATTGAATTTAATTTAATTCTTTTTTAGTTTCAAAAATAATTATATATAGATAGATATAGCTATATTATTAAATAGTTTAATATAATATAAATATATGTAATTTATTATTATTATATATATTATAAAACAGTTTATAAAATAGATAATATGCTATAAATAATATATATAGTTGTAAAGAAAGATATAATAATATATAAAATATATATATATATATATATATATATATATATATAGTTGTAAAAAAGTTGATAAGGAAGAAGAAAACAATCATGTGTAAATGAAAGGAATTGAATATATGTTGAAATGATTTACGTATGGGAAGATTCAGGATATGCACGGATGAAAAAAAAAAAACATTTGCAAGAATTTTTTCATTGCCGAGTACTCCCTTAGACTGAGTACACCATTAAGCCGAGTACCCCCTCAGGCTGAGTACCCTCTTAGGCCGAGTACCCCCTTAGGCCGAGTACCCCCTCAGGCTGAGCACCCCTTTAGGCCGAGTACACCATTAGGCCGAGTACCCCCTCAGGTTGAGTACCCCCTTAGGCTGAGCACCCCTTTAGGCCGAGCACCCCTTTAGGCCGAGTACACCATTAGGCCGAGTACCCCCTCAGGCCGAGTACCCATTAGGCCAATGAATGGGCTGAGTACCCCCTTAGGCCGAGCACCCCTTTAGGCCGAGTACCCCCTTAGGCCGAGTACACCATTAGGCCGAGTACCCCCTCGGGCCAATGAACGGGTTGAGTACCCCCTCAGGCTGAGTATCCATCAGGCTAATGAATAGGCCGATCGAGTACCCCCCTTAGGCCGAGTACCCCCTTAGGCCGAGCACCCCTTTAGGCCGAGCACCCATCAAGCCAATGAATAGGCCAAGTACCCCTCAGGCCGAGTACCCATCAAGTCAATGAATAGGCCGAACACCCCGTCGGTCAATGAACATGCCGAATTCCCCTTCAGCCAATGAACAGGTCGAACACCCCTTCGACCAATTAACATACCGAATACCCCCTCGACCGATGAACATATCGAATGGGTATTCAACTGTAATGAATTTCCATGAGAAAAAGGAAAGCAAGTATTAATTACATTAAACACACCCATGTTATCTATAATCAGTGTGCAAAACCTTGTGCACTAGCCCAATAATCTAGAAAGCCCACCAGGCCCAAGAACGTCACTATAAATATGGTATTGATGGGACTGATGGGACAAATATGATTATTTAATACAATAACCTTTATTATTTTCTACTGAATACTCACTTGAGCATTGGAGTGCCTTTACAGGTACCCTCCCCACCATTCGGAGACAAGACTCAGCCAGCATTTGGAACTTAGGAGACTAATCAAGAAGGAGGAGACAGCAGGAACATTTTGGCGCCCACCGTGGGGCCGAAACCAAAATGGTTTTCGACCCTGAATTAAGATGGTAGCAACTAGGAGCCAGCAAGAAAACGCGACCATTCATAATCTCGGGATGCCCCGAGAACCCAAACAGCAGACAAATCAAAACATATAAGGAATGGAGGAATCGTACGTGGACCGCTCGCAACTCGCAAACCCGTCATCAACCATAGAATAGCTAAAAGCCGAAATGTTGGAATTGAAGAGGCTTTGGGAAAAGGATGCCCAAGAATTATCCATCCTACGAAGGGAGAATACAGAACTTAGAAGCGATAATCGCTCGTGGCAACCATCGCAAAGCATCCCGGCCCAAATACAAAACCCACCAACGATCAGGGTGAATCATTGGGATGGTATAAGGAGCCAAGGCCCCCAGGCTGACCAGCTGGAGTAACCACTACAACACTTGATCAACAAAGACAACAAGGGAAGACACCATTCATCCCTGATATCAGAAAGGCACGATTACCCGGCAATTGAAAAAAATTAGCTTTGGAACGATACGACGAGACTACCGATCTAGAAGAACACCTGGACGCCTTCACCACCCAGGTCGATTTGTTCAAAGACGAAGATGCAATCATGTGCAAGGTATTCCCTACATCGCTGAAAGGACCATCCTTAAAATGGTTTACCAGACTCCCTTCAAGGTCCATAGACTCGTTTGCCACACTAGCCAAACGCTTTAGCATCCATTTTGCCACAAGCCGACCCCATCGGCTTACCTCCCTTACCTTGAACAATATCTATCAAGAGAAGAGGGAGCCGTTGAGGGCCTTCATGGAGCGGTTTGGGAAAATGACGCTAGCCATTCGAGATTTGGACCCGGCAATAGCCATGCACCACCTTACTACGGCACTACGACCTGGGCCCTTTGTGAATATAGTTTGTGTAAGAAGCCACCTATAGACCTCGACGATCTACGGAAAAGAGCGACCAAATACATGCAAATGGAAGAGTTGGCAGAGTTAGAAACCAATCATGACTCAAACCTAATAAGAGGGAAGGGGACAGAGAACACCCGACAAAACCTCGCATCCCAAATATTGTCGATCGCGAGAGAACCACAACGGGACCGAGGTATGCACAATACACGCCTCTTAATGCAAGCAGAACCAAGGTGTTGGAGCAAGCCCTGGCCACCAAAGTCCTAACGGTGCCCCGACGCGCTTCAACTCCACCCCATGCAGATAAGACAAACATGACAATTCCACAGAAATAAGAGGCACACGACGGAAGAATGCACAACTCTTCAGGATCTCATCAAAGATCTTGTAAAAATAGGGCACCTCCAAACCTTCATACAATCCTCGAACAGGAAAAGGTAGGACAACTACCCCGACAGGACAGACCAAAAGAAAGAGGGCCAAGATAGGGCACCTCCGAGATATAGGCACAGGGAACGCAGCAAATCACATGAACAAAATGATCAGTAGTGGGATAGGAATCTCCCGAGAAGGGTGATAAATACAATTGTTGGAGGATTCGCAGGAGGTGGAGGAACCTCTTCGGCATGAAAGAGTCACTTGAGGGCAATTAGGTTAATTAATGCGGTAACACGAATAGATTTAGTCCCCATGCCACCCATCACCTTTACTAACAGGGACTTCCAGGGGGTCGACCCAGTACAAGACGACCCCATGGTAATCAACGTAGAAATTAATAACTGTCTGGTGAGAAAACAGCTCATAGACCAGGGGAGCTCAACTGATATCTTATACTGGAAAACATTCAAACAGTTGGGCATTCCCGAATAGGAGTTGACACCCTACCATGAGCCCTTAGTCGGATTCTCGGGAGAAAGAGTAGACGCCCGAGGAATGACTTGTACACCTACTTTGGGAATGAACAAGAAGGAAAAAAAGTCAAGGTACGATATGTGGTGGTACATGCCAATACCTCCTACAATATCTTTCTTGGACGACCCTCTTTAAACAAGCTCCGTGCCATTGTGTCAACCCCTCACTTAGCCATGAAGTTCCCGTCTGAAACTGGCATGGTGATCACGTTACATGCCGATCAGAAAACGGATGGTGAATGCTACTATGCTAGTTTGAAGGTACAACTGTTGCTTAGGTACCCACACGACTTCAATGTTATCGGTGATCACCACCAAATCAGAGGAGATACATATTTTGAGTTAGACCCCCATTCAAATGATGACCAAAGAGTGGAGCCAGTCGAGACAACTATCCCCTTGCAACTTGGAAGAAGTAAGGAGCAGGTCACATACCTGAATTCCCAGTTGACGGCTATCGAGGTCGAAAGTATCAAAAAGGTCCTCATTAGGAACTCCGACCTGTTTTCCTGGACAGCAGCGAACATGCCGGGCATTGATCCACACTTCACTGCCATTGACTTTCCATATGTTGAGATTCTAAGCCCATTGCCCAGAAAAAGAGGAAGATGGGCGGTGAGAGAGCACAAGCCCTGAGGGAAGAAATTGCAAAATTAATTCAAGCTGGGTTCATCAGAGAAGTCAAGTATACCACCTGGTT